CTTTGGCCTAATCACCTTCTCCATGTAAGAAAACCCGAAAAAAATTAAGTATTTGGTTCATTTCATCCCCCCCTAAATATTAACCGATCTTTACCAAAAACAAAGGGGTCTTCATTGGCCAGAACCCAACGTACATGCAAAATTTCGTGAAGATTGTTCAATAACTGTGGCCTGTATCGTGTTTACAAATTATAATAGACGGACGGACACACATGTCTAGATCGAATCAGCAAGTCGAGATAAGACGATCGGTATACTTAAAGGTGGGTCTAGGACTAATATTTCGGCGTTACAAACTCTTGGGGCTGCACAAAGGTATAATACCCTGACAACATAGTTGTGTAGGGTATAATTACATTAAAATTAATAACAGTAATTTTATAATACCTTTTTTGGAATAAAAAAAAACATTTTATTCAAAAAATTATAACTGAAAATTACCCCACATTATTGAGACATTTAAATGTGTGTGTGTTTTATTATTCCGACAATGTCAAAAAATACATAATATCTAGATCTAGTTTAGCGGCAGCATACAATAAACACCATACACACATTATGTATGACCTACATGTATTAAAACATGTTATGGTTTCTCCTTATTGATATATTTAACCGGTTTCGTTGTTGCATGCATAAACAGAAGATTAAAAAATATTAATAATAAAATAAAAGATTTAAAAAAAAACAAATATGTTATGGAACTTTTAAAACTATTTTTTTAATCACGTCTAAGCTGGCCCTTAAAAATTTGTTTTTAACAGATTTAATCAAATGTTAGATCTTAAAAAAGAAAAACCTCCACCCAAAACTGGACTTTAAAAATGTTTTTTTTTTTAAATTCATTTTAAAAAATTCACCATACTCGACCTTAAAAAATGTAAAAAAAATCCACGCCTGTGACTAGACCTTTAAAAAATAATTTTAAAATGTCCCCGCCTATATGACTGGACTATAAAAAATATTTTTAAAATTCATTTAAAATTTTATTTTAAATTGGACATTTAAAAAAATCCATCTAGGGATGTACCTGGCCTGGGCATTTTAGTTTATGGTTTTCTTTTTCATTTTTTTTTTCGTCAGACTTTTTTTTACCTTCTTGGAGGGCCAACAACTGAATTCAGCCTTCGAAATTGTTTGCAAATGTTTGTGTTTTTCTCATTGGCATTTTCTTGTTCTTCTTTTTCTATTCTTCGTATTGTTTTGTTACTTTTTACCGCAAGGCCAGGCTTGTAAACAAACGAAAACCACTGAAATCGAATATCTGGATAAACAAACCCTGAAACGAAAAAGAAAATTAAAAAAAACGTAAACAAATGACGTAGTAATGGAGGAGGGCGACGATGTCACGAATTGATTAATGATTTTTCAATTTCAATTTTCAATACAAATTATCTAACCGTGCAAAAAATATTTATTTTTTTTTTTGGGAATAGGATTGGAATTTAATCTTACTAAAATATTTATGTATGTGTGTCATACGGTATGCAATTACATTTCCCATGACACTTTAATTTGATTGATTAATTTTCTTACGTTAAATAAAAATTTGCTTTTCAACGAGTTCGGTTTTCAATTTTTATATTTTTTGTTTCGTGTTTTTATGTGCATATATTTATAATATAAATATATTTAAAGAAGAAAAAAAAAAAACAAGTGGGTTTAAAAAATCGTTTTTGTTTATATTCCGTCTATATGCAAAAAAAAAATGCCAATAAATTATTTTTTCGTGTGATGTTTTTTTTTTTATTTTGCAAAAATCTGTTTTTTTGGACTTTGGATTCAGTCAAAAAAATATGCATCTATTTTATCTTTTTTTAAGATAGTGCTATAATATTTGAAACAAAAGTATGAAAATGTTATTGCTAAAATTAGCACCTCTCCATGGACAAATCTTGGAATTACTTTAAATGTCTCAAAAATTAAGTTAATTTATAATTTTTGTTAAAAAAAAATCACTGGACCTTAAGAAAATAATTTTTAAAAAATCCAAGCATGTGGCAGGACTTTAAAAATTTTAATTAAAAAATCCAAGCATGTGGCAGGACCTTAAAAATTTTATTTAAAAAAAATCCACGCTTATATGGCTTTACCTTAAAAAAATAATTTTGTTTTTGCAAAATATTCAGGCTGAATCTCAGTTTGTTGTTTTTATAAAAAACAACAACTATTTATTAGTAGGAAATTTACGGCATTGTTAAAGGAACAAATAATTTCAAAAAATCCACATCTATGGTTGTTCCCATGGCAATAATTATTCACGACTGGACCTATGAAAAGAAAATTAAAAAATCCATCCCTATGACTGGACCTTTAACATTTAATTTCAAAAAATCCCCGCCCATGTCTGGACTTTAATTTTTCTTTTAAATCCACAACCATAACTGGACCTAAAAATTTATTTTTAATCCAGCCCCTATGGCTGGACCTTTAAAAATTAATTTCAAAAAATCCACGCCCATGACTGGGCTTTAAATAAATTAAAAAAAAAAAATCCTTAAAAAATAATTTTAATATTTTCACGCCTCTGGCAATCCATAAAAGAATATTTTTAAAATACTAAGGCCTCTAATAGTTCTTTAAAAATGTATTTTTTTAAACCAGTGTGCGGAGCAGTATAGTCGGACGGGCCGACCATACGATACACTACACAACATCCACCAAAAACCAACTTTCAGTGGTTCTATATTCTGAGACTGGGCAATATTTGCACCCTCTTGACCGACTAGAGGTCAACAAACATTACTAATATTCAGTACATCCCTTCTAATTACTTGTCCAGATTCTCTTCACCGTGGGTTATTTTTTGATGTTCGGATTTCAATTGTGACCTATAGATCGATTCGAAAAAAAAAACACAAATAATAAGTTTTCGGTCCACTTCATACCAAAATTATTATCTGATCATCACCGAAAATTATAGGCGTTGTCCTTAACCATAACATGGAACATTTCAAAGCGATCAGCGCTGTATTCCGCCCTCCAGTGTGTTAATGGGCTACTAAATAATATATGCATACGTAAGCACTGGCCATTATTTAAGTGTAACTCCCACATCCGAGTACATACGACAATATAATTGGCATCAATTATGGTATATCCTCTTGGATATACCATCAACTTCTCGGGTCTATGTCCTTCAGGGGTGAACATATACGCCATAGAATACAAATTTTGTAATTTTTCACACAAAAGTCAGTGTCCATTTGACCCGCTAAATATTGACCAATCTTTATAAAAACAGGCATGCTTATTATACAAAAATATTTTTTTAAATATATAGACCTGTAATAGACTTAGAAAAATGTATTTTTAAGACCTGTAACAATCCCAGGAAAAAAGGCTCTACCATTTGTTTTAAATATGTTCCGATCTCTTGAAAAGATATAATTAAATTTGTAAGGTCTTTAATATTTTTCATAGATATTAATATTTTTTTATAAAATCTACGAGTCTAATAGACTTACAATATTTTTGAAATCGGAACAACTTTAGTTTAGTAAAAACGATCAGATTTTTTTGAAATTTTTTCCAGAGGTAGGTATTTTTACCCTAATTATGGGGATATCTTTTTTCTTAAGGGACGTACCCGGTTACCCGGTTATTGTCTTTGAAAAAGTATTTTTAAAATTTTCTGGCCTCTGACCTGAAAACATTATTTTCACATATTCAAATAATTATTCTGGGTTTATACATGCAACTTTTGTAAGCAACTCTGCTGAGTTCTTAGAAGAGAGGTACAAAAAGTGACAACCGGGCAGAAATTCAGAAGAGAATCGTAGAGAGCTGCAACAGAGTTGCTGAAAAAATGTTGCATGTGTAAACCCAGACTTAAAAGTCATTGAAAAAAATATTTTAAAATATCCATTGAAATAAAAATTAACAAAATTGAATATTTCGCCTCAATTGAAAAAAAAATAACTTCTTTTAAAAAAATCACTTTATTCAAGAATTTTATATCCTCCAGCATTTTGCAATCCAATAAATCAATAAAAATCATGCAGACAGTTTTTTTTCACAGACATCTGTAATCAGATATTTGCAATAAAAAAAACAAACATTCAAAATCAATTTATTATTTTTATTCTTTTATCATATCGCCAAAAATAATAATAATTTGTTGTTTTATTAACTGGTGGTCCCATGACTAATAAAAATATATAATTCAGCTGTCTGGCCCACATTCAGATTGCAACTGACGCAGTTTTATATATCAATTAGTTAAATTCCTATCTGAAACAACAACATTTAAAAAAGAAAACTCAAATCAAATCAATTTTATGTTAATTTTGTTAAGGCGTAATAAAAAAATAACTTTATAATTTCAATTTGGGTTAAAATCGATTATGAAGGTTTATTGCGCCCAATACCGATTATACTACATAGGAGGGTAATAATTGTAATGGGATGGAGAGGAATAATATTTCCTTTAAAAATTATATTAACATAAAACCAGGATCTAAAAGTTCCTTACAAATAAATATTTTTAAAGTATCGAATTCTACCTGAAAAAAATTGAATATAAAACTTATACAGTATTTTTCGGTTAATTGACCCTACGGTTAATTGGTTTCCACGCTTAATTGAACCACATGATGGGTCAAAAATATTTCATTTCATAGTAAGCGGGTTCGGATAATTGGTTCCTCGGTTAATTGAACAAAAATTTGTGCAAATTTTGATGTGCAATTAACCGAAAAATACTGTAACAGATATTGAAAAATTTTTAAATCAAAACCAAGTCCTTAAAATATATATATGTATATATTTTTTAATATTTAAGCCTTTACTCCTCTTATCAAAGAAGCAAATGTCCTTACGGAAAGTTTCCAAACTCATTTCAGGATTTTTATATTTTTGTAAATTTTTGAAAGAAAAAATTGTAAAATATTTTTGTTTTATTAATTTTTCTTTATTTTCTATCTTTGCAGATTTCTTCTCTTTTTTCGCCATAAATCACCCCGAAAGAAGGCCATAGAACCCATTTGAATTTCTATTTGAGTGTGGGTTAATTAAGCCGCCACCATGGCTGAAGCCCATCAGGCCGTTGCCTTTTCATTTGCCATTACCCATGAGGGTTTTGACATCAACTACGATCAAGAGGTTTTAAATCTTATCTGGACCTCAGGCTATAGGTCATGGAAGAAACGTCTAGCAAGAGCCAGGGTAAGTTGGACACATTCTCCCCGATTTGAGAAACCATTTTAATTCTAATTTCCTCTTCCTTTCAGAATGGCATACGCAATGGTGTCTATCCAGCCCATATACACAGTCTCTGGCTAATAACAGCCATTGCGCTGGGTCTGCATTTTGCTGGTTTTCAAACACCCTTCAATATAGTTAATCGCATACTAGTACATTTACCTGCAAACACAATAAATTGGCAAGTCACAGCTTGCTTTTTAGCCTCCCTAGTTATATGGCTGGGTATATGCTTTACAATGCGCTATACCCTAAAGCTACTGCTAATGTACAAGGGTTGGATGTATGAATCTCGAGCGCCGGGTAGTAAAGTGTCATTGCGTACTCGATTATGGGCTGGTGCCGTTAAGGTATTTTCCAGCTGGAATAAACCGGGCTTATATAGTTTTCAAGGTTCATTGCCAAGGTTGACACTGCCATCGGTAAAGGACACTATGCAGCGTTACTTGCGCTCAGTACGCCCCCTATTGGATGATGAACAATATCAGCGCATGGAACGTTTGGCTAATGAATTTGAAAATACCATTGGCAAGAAGTTGCAGTGGTATTTGATTTTGAAAAGTTGGTGGTCCACCAATTACGTGTCGGATTGGTGGGAGGAATATGTTTATCTACGCGGTCGCAGTCCCCTGATGATTAACAGTAATTTCTATGGTACCGATGCCATATTCATGGATTTGACCCACAATCAAGCTGCCCGGGCTGCCAATATTGTCTACTTGTTGTTGAACTTTAGACGTTTGATTGAGAGACAAGAATTGCAACCGGTAAGAGAATTTTTGAAATCGTATTTAATTTTGCTTGTCTAATTTGATAATTTCTTCTACATCAGATCATGGTTCAAGGCATTGTCCCCCTGTGCTCCTGGCAATATGAAAGAACCTTTAATACTGTTCGCGTCCCTGGTTTGGAAACCGATCGCATTGTCCATTACAAAGACTCCAATCACATTGTGGTGCTACACAAAGGCTGCTATTACAAGGTGTTGATTTACTACAAGGGACGTCTGCTGAGACCCTGTGAAATTCAAATGTAAGCGGAAAACTTAAAACCCACCAATAAATTCAAACAAATTGTACCACTTTGTGACTATTTAAACTGAAAATGTATTTCTTCATTATATTTCTAGACAAATGGAAGAAATCCTAAACAGCAAAGCCACCCCACTGCCGGGTGAAGAACATTTGGCAGCACTGACCGCCTGGAATCGTTCCAAATGGGCTGAAGCTCGTAATACCTATTTTTCACGTGGCGTCAATCGTGTCTCCCTGAATACTGTCGAATCGGCTGCATTTGTTGTATCCCTAGATGAAGTGCCATTTGAATTTGATTTGAATCGTCCCGAACTGTTGGATAACTTTGGTAAAACCCTGCTACATGGTAATGGTTACAATCGTTGGTTCGACAAAAGTTTCACAGTGTGTGTGGGCACTAATGGCCGTGTTGGTTTCAATGCTGAACATACGTGGTAAGTTGGAGAAGGGGATTTTTTGTAATGTTTCCTTCTAAATTTCAGAAAAACATCGGTGTTAAAAAAGAGAGAAATATAGGAATTTCCAGCAGAAATTAGTGTAGACCTGGACTACGACATAAGGCCAAGAGGTGTTCCATTGTCAGAAAAAGAATAGTAAATGTTTGTAGAAAGCCTAAATGTGGGCAATAGAATAGCTCAAGGATTTCTGTAGACTTTAGAAGACCTCAAGGTATTGTATTGTATTCAGAAGTCCTTAGACTTTAGGTCTTATATAGTCTTTGGAGGACCTCTAGATCTTCTATACTCTTTAGAGGACTTCTAGATATCACATTGATGTTAGCAGACCTCTAGATCTTCTTTAGACTTTAGAAGACCTCTAGGTCTAAAGGTCTGTAGACTTTAGACGACCTCAAGGTATTGTATTGTGTTCAGAAGTCCTTAGACTTTAGGTCTTATATAGACTTTAGAGGACCTCTAGATCTTCTATACTCTTTAGAAGACTTCCAGATATCCCATTGATGTTAACAGACCTCTACGTCTTCTTTAGACTTTAGGAGACCTCTAGGTCTTTTATAGTCTTAAGAATATCTCTAGGTCTCCTATAGACTTTAGAGGAACTCTAAGTCTTCTATAGTCCTTGGGCGACCTCTAGGTCTTCTATAGACTTAGGAATATCTATCATCATCTCTAGGTCTCCTATAGACTTTAGAGGAACTCTAGGTCTTCTATAGTCTTTTGGGCGACCTCTAGGTCTTCCATAGACTTAATAATATCTCTTGGTCTCCTATAGACTTTAAGGAACTCTAGATTTTCTATAGTCTTTAGGGGGACCTCTAGGTCTTCTATAGACTTAAGAATATCTATCATCCTCTCTAGGTCTCCTATAGACTTTAGAGGAACTCTAGGTTTTCTATAGTCTTTGGGCGACCTCTAGGTCTTCTATATTCCATTTAATGTCTAAATTCTTCTATTGTCTATAGGGGACCTAGGGGTCATCTATTGTCTATAGGGGACCTAGGGGTCATCTATTGTTTATAGGGGACCTAGGGGTCTTCTATTGTCTATAGACGGCCTAGATGTGTTTTATTGTCTACAGAAGGCCAAGGCCCTTATTTGTGTGTAGATGGCCTTTATTTTGTATGGAAGTTTTCGATTCGATAGGGAAACAAATGCTGTTCTTTTATTTTTCATACCCATTAATTTTTCCCCCTTATATTGGCAATAATAATAAACCTAATTCTTTGTTTTGAAATAAAAAAGGGCCGATGCCGCTGTTGCTGCTCACATGTGGGAAAATATGATGATCGACGATCTTGTGCTCGATGGGTAAAGAATATTTTTTCCAAGAAACTTTTTTTTTCGATGTAAAAGTGGTGTTGGCCCCATATTCTGCGTTGTCAATATGCCCACATAAATATTTTTTTTTTCAAAATTTTGTTTTTTCATGCGCATTTTGGTTATGGTCATTTTTCACATTTTTTTTTCTACTTTGTTTTCTCTTTTTGGTTGAGGATTTTTTATTTATTTTTTTACAGGTTCATCAAATAAATATTTATGTATACAACTATTTATTTATATATATTTTTTATTATTTTATTCATATTTTTGTTTATAAATATTTATTTTTTGCACCCTGTTGTTTTTAGGGCTGATGCACCGGTTATGGGTCATACATGGGAATATATATTTGGTGATGATATTTATGGGTAAAAAAAACAACTGAAAATATTGCTCAAAGCTGCTTGTTGTCCCCAAATATAACAATTCCTAATCATTTATGTTTCTAACAATAATAATAAGATTTTTATTTATTTTTAACATACTAACATTTGTTTTACAAATTTATTCCAACATTGGGTCTCATGCATAAAACGTGAGCTTGAGCTCGGACTCGATTTTTTGAGTAAAAGGTGCTTGTCGTATGCATAATAAAATTTGATGTATTTGCTTTTACTCACTGCTCACGTTTGATCTCTTCTTGCTCAGTTTGAACTTAGAAATTGATGTTGGATGAGATTGTTCTCATTTTCATATGCATAAAAACAAGCTTTTGCTTACTTTTGTGAGCTCTTGCTTAACTTTTGTTGAGCATGCCTCTTAGTTGACTCGCGTACACTAAAATGAATAATTATCAGTGATTGTGAACATAATTTATCACAGAAAATGATTTTGGAAAAATATTTCATGAATATTTTGTGTTGAAGCTTGACAATAACCCCCAGACATAAACCAAAACTTGTCAGCGATTGGTTGCGGGAGTCTCAAATCCGGATTTTATGATGGCCAACATAATCATAAGATCTTCACCCTATAGAAAAATCGTTGTATCATCATCGATAGCAAAATTCAAAGGGATTCACTAACAAGCAAACATAACCTCTTCTCAAAGGTTCAGGATGTGAAGAATAGTGCATCAAAGGATCAAATTTTGGATCGTATAGGTTCAATGTCTCGTGGGTGTAATCAAAAATAACGGGTTTGCTGTCGATTACTAGCTAAATTTGCTTATTTATAAAAAAGAATAAAATCAAAATTGGGTCAATGTAGTTTTCCATAGAATTTATTTTTATTTCGAAATAAATGTCACTTTATATTCTTAAAAAAAAAAAATTCTCTATAACTTTATTTTCAAAAAAAAAGTTACGGGTCATTAATTCAGTTTGCAATTTCAGTTGCTTTAGTTTTGGCCACCAGTGTATATATTTTATGGGGTCTTAGGTGAATATTTCGAGATGTTATAAACGGAATAAAAAATTGAGGAATATTAGCCAAGTATTTGCAAATATTCGGGTTTCAACAGACGGGTATGGATATAATTGATTTTGATCAGGAAAATACATATACTTTAGGAGGTCTTCGCCCGCCTTATGGTGTGGATTATAATAACATAAACCCTAATAATAATATAGTCCGTCATTTCTATTCCAAATGTTGCTTCATTTCTTTGACACTTGGTAACTGACTTTTTCAAAGTGAATATTTATTTTCTTTAATTTTTGTTGTACTAAAAATGCAGATATATCGTCAGTTTCTATTTTATTATTAGTATTTACTGCTACTTCTAATTCACTTCCACTATAACAATTAGAAGTTTGATCTCAATTTGCTCAAGTATTTGCAATTGGTTTGAACTCATTTTTATGCATACGAAATTGAGCAAAAGCAGTTCCTGTTCCATCTAACTCAACTTACGAGCAATTGCTAGCTTGACTCAACTCATCGCTTTTGCTCGTTTTTATGCATGAGGCCCATTGGAAGCACCGTTATTTTTTGTAGACCTTCATCATCTAACTACTAATCCAAATCACCTTGAGTTCTAACTGTTGTCTAACATAACCATAAGGATCCGACAGGCAATTTTGTTTTTCAAAGCTAGTTTTATTTATAAATTTAAACTAGAACATGGGCGAATATTATATCCGTCCATCGACACACCCAAATGTTGTCGATACACAGCACAGTATCTAATAAAATAAATATATAACGAACCATATCTTAAGTAGTTCAACAATCTGTCATATGTGCTTGGAAAAAAATGCAATAAAAATCTTGCATAAAACTTAGCTGAATAGGGTTAAAATCGTGTGGAATGCGTTTCCTCATGCCCGTAATATCGATTTTTGTGGAAAAATTGCATAATTTCCTTAGCTGAATAACATAAAATTTTGCGGAATTGTAGAAAAGATGCAGCAAATTTCTATAAAGTTGTGGAAATAATAAAATAAACATATAAAGAACCATTTCTTCAGACTGTCATATATTTTTAACAGTAATTTAAAATTAAAACCTTGCTGAATTGCATAAAACGTAGCTGAATAGGACTGAAACTATGCGGAATGGGTTTATTTATGTATAGAATATAGATTTTAGTGCAAAAATTCCATAATTTCCTTTGTGGAATTACATAAAATTTTGCTGAATTAAAAAAATTAATGAAATGAATAAAATTTGAAATTTTTTGTAAAATGAATACAATTCTAACCTTATCATGTGGAGTTTGTTTCACTAAAATAATTTTATTAAATTGTGTGACATAAATTCCTTGCAGAATTGCATAAAACTTAGCTGAATTAGGGTTAAAATCATATCGA